GAGATTGTCACAAGTCTTCGGAAATCCTAGGAAGTGTTCGTGTGATCCTCGAAAATCTTCGGGTGATCATCGGAAATCTTTGGAAGTGTTCGGGCGATCTTCGTAAGTTCTTAAGTGATCTTTGGAAATCTTCAGAGATGTTCGGGTGATACTCGGAAATCTTCGGAAGTGTTCGGGTGATCTTCGGAAGTCTTTGGAATTGTTCGGGTCATCTTCGGAAATCTTCGGGAGTGTTCGGGTGATCTTCGGAAATCTTCGGAAGGTTTCGTGTGGCCTTCGATAATCTTCGGAAGGTTAATAGCTTAATTTCGTTGGCTGAGACAAACTGTCCTTTTGCCAAATTGGACAGTTTCTGCGTTCTTACTCCCTTTTTACCCCTCCCCTTTATACGCCTGCCACGCAGGCTAATAATAGCTGTGCTGACAATACTGGATTAACTGACTGCTATATAATTAGTAGAAAAACTCTTCGCAACGAGCGCGTAACTGATACTCAGATAGTGGGCAAAGAAAGATGTATTAAAGAACAGATTTTTTTTGGAACTACTGTGTGTTATTTTACCAGTTAAGTTCTCCAAAATTGTTTTGCGGTGTGAAATTTCGTGCGATGTTTGAAGTTTTACTACAAAAACAATTTCTCTCAGTCGTTGCTGCTAAAATCACTTAAAATCAGACTTTTCTACTGCAAATTGAATAGCAGAAAGCGAAGAAAGTCGTTAAGTGTATTCCACAGAAATTCTCCAGTAACAATCAGAGAGGTAAACTCGACTGAAATTGACTCAAATTTTACGGAGAGAGAAACACAGGATTACGCGCCATTACAGCGCCAAGCTAAAAACAACCAACCAAACTCTCACAACTTCAAAACACTCATGATCAATTGAATTTACTTACAGTGACTTTCCTTGCCATTTTAAAGTGAACAGAGATAAACTTGCGTTGACTAATCGTCGATGGAAGTGTAAAAAAGGCAAAAATTTACGATTACCGCTGACTTTTAGGAGCGAAATTTAGGAGCCGTAATTGCTACAGCGGGGAGAAAATCCGGCCCTTGGGCTGTATCGTAAAAAAGCTGGACCGGTCACGAGTACATGATTAGCCAATCAAATTCGAGGATTTCGGATTTCGGCGCGCTCAGATGCTTGAAAAAAATATATATATATGTGTTATTTGCCGGCTGGGAGGTCCGTATGGTGAAAAACTGTGACCGAGGTCACAGTTTTTCACTATACGGACCGACCCTAAGCTGGCAAATAGCATGTTTATTTTTTTCTCCCGCAGTAAATTGGTTTTTGCGGTGTGAAATTTCGTGCGAAGTTTGAAGTTTTACTGCAAAAACAATTTCTGTCAGTCGTTGCTTTTAAAATCACTTGAAATCAGACTTTTCTACCGTAAACTGAATAGCAGAAAGCGAGAAAATTCGTTAAGTGTATTACACAGAAGTTCTCCTAAATACAGCAACGATCGGAGAGGTAAACTCGACTGAAATTGACTCAAATTTTATGGCGAGAGAAACACAGGATTACGCGCCATTACA